CAAGTAATTGATTCTGCTGTATCAATTGACGAATGGATTGATGTCACATACGTGCCCACTGATGACACTGCTACGATATTAGGGGAATTCAGCAATAAAAGACTAAATAGAAATAAATCTATCTGTAAAACTAAGAAACCCATGAAAAATAACCTATTCCTTCCATATCAATATAAAAGTCATTGGCGGTTAATGATTGCAAATATAAAAGAAAAGAAATTAATGTTGCTAAATCCATATAAGAATGAGACAGACAGATTTCGAGTTATTGAAGCATTTAAAAACTTCATCCAGTATTGTTGGTCTGCATCATCCTTTTCAAGTTTACGTGGTGTTACTTGGAGTGATATTGAAATTCTTGAGCGACCATATCAACCTAATAACGATGGCTACAGCTGTGGACCTTATATAATGTATTATATGGATTGCATAGAAAAGCAAATACCGTTTGAGAAGACATTTAATCCTTCAACGTATCGAAGAGAAATTGCATATAACTTACTTTTAAAATCAGAGAATATGGAAGACACATGCTTATATTGTTTTGCAAAAATAAAGTCTCAGTTTATAAAATGTAAAGTATGCGAACGCAAAAGTCATACGGAATGTTTATACAAGTCTGAAATGAATACAGACGAAGAAGAATATGTAATGAAGAAAAAAACAAAAATGATAAAAAGTGTATCAGATAGTATAACAAAAATATTTATCTGCAAACTATGCAAGAAATATAAAAATGGGTATTATACAACATAATGTACAACATAAGTAAAGTATAATAATGAAATACATTCTTTGAGAAATAAAAAGATGAGAATTAACAGAAATTAATACAAAAGAATACAACAGAAATTAATTAAAAGAAATTAATATTAAAGCAAATATAAAAACTTCATAAACGTTGAAAAACTAAATAGTAAGCATTGATAATGTTTGAAAGTGTTGTTAACATTTTTATTATAACTTCTAATAATATTTCTTGTATAGTAAAATAGTAAAAAATTTATAAATTATTATTTAAGAATTCCTAGTATCTTTCAGACATTAGTCGCGCATAAGAGCGTGAACTGCTATTAATACTATGTAGGTTAAATTATCAAAAATATTTATATAACAAGTATTGATTATATCTGAAGATTTGTATATAGAAATTTGAAAATTATTTTGCAAATTAAAATACTTATTAACTGCATTATTTATTTATTTTAACAATTAGTAAAATTACCGTGCTTCAGATATAAGTCGCGCTATCGCGTGAACTGCTATATATGTTATGTAAATAATTGATAAAACAATTATGAAACAGTTACTGTGCATTGATAACAAATGAAGGATATCTAAAATTTGTGTTTGTGCAACAGTTTTCAACAGTTATTAATGTAATCTTTTTAACATTGTATCATTAAAAATTTTATATAAAATATTTCATAATAAAATAAATTTTTATACTATATATAAATATTTATGCTAACAAAGTCTAGTAAAAATAATTTTTTTTTAAATTTACAAATGCAAAGAAAAAAAACAATCCTTATGTTTTTACTTTTACTTTTCTTTGTATTAAAAGGTGTGCTTTATAAATACGTTAATTAATATTTTGTTATCTTATAGTTAGTTAGTTAGTTAGAGCTTCTTTATTACCCCAAAGGGGTCCAAAAGGGCGTTTTGAAGGGACGTACCCAACCCTGTACATATGACTCTGCCATGGGCTCATCGGCGTTTTTTCAGGGACGTACCCAACCCTTTACAGACCAAAACTTATCAAAATGCACTTATCAAAAATCAGAATAAAAATAAACTCCAAGAAAATAAACTCTCATAAACAAAAATCATCTTTACAAACCAAAACTTATCAAAATGCAATTATAAAAAATCAAAATACAAATAAACTCCAAGAAAATAAACTCTCATAAACAAAAATCATCAACAGTCTTGCTGCGACTCGCTATTTGGGGAGCCAGGGGCCGCAGCACGTGACGCAGTTTGGTCCCTCTGCCACGCGCATCCATCCGAGTCCAAGCCGCCCGTTTTGCGCGTCGCTCCACGGTGCCTCCGCGTTCTCCGTGCGCACATCAGCCGCCGCGGCAGCGCACTTGATGCCACCGCCGCGGATATGTTAATTTTTCCGTTAGCAACAGATGTTCTCACATACTGCGGATACTCAACGTCATCTCGCATGTATTCTCCTCAAAATCGGTGACATATCTCGCATCTCCGAGAACGTAGAGCAGAGTGAGCATGATAAAAAACAGCACCAGCGAACCGCAGATCATTATCCGTTTTACGGACGTCTTTTTTGAGTATCTCACCTCTCTCGAACCACTTGTTCATGAGATCCTCATTCTTCTTGTCGCCGTCGCCGCCACACGGCACGCATCCGCCTACGCCCGGGCCAGTGGTGACCGCGCCTCCTCAACCGGGCGGCTCTTCGCTCCTCGGACCCCCGCTACCGGCTCGCGTCCCGCCGTATTCCCCTGGTCTCCTCTTCCTTCTTACTCGGCCTTTGTTTTTTCCTTTTCTTCTTCCGTCTCCATTAGTAGGCTTTTCTCTAGCTCGCTTGCTATCTCATCTTCTTCTGATCCTTTTGTTCTTCCATCATCTTCTCCCCTCCTCTCCTTTCTCCTCCTCTTCTCTTCTCCCTCTCTAATTCTTCTTTCTACGGATTTGTCTTCATCCATCTTGACCTTTAGTCTGCTCCCTGCCCTCCTCGCCTCTAATACTTTCCATTTCTCCTCTTCACTTCCCAGCCTCACCAGCATCGTGAGCCATTCTCCTCTCAGCCCTATTACGCTCACTTCCTTCATTTCTACCTTTAACTTCAGTTCCTCCGAGAGCAGTTGCCTCACTTTTTCCCAATTCGTTCCCTTTCCCATCCATCTGTTCCTCTCTATCCTTATTATTATGTTTTTCCTCCTTCTCTCGTCTTCATTCCTCTCATCGTCGTCGGACCACCATTTCATTTCGTCTTGCTTGCCCCTGCTCTCTGCGCTTTCGTCCCTCTTCCTTTTACCCGCGCCCATTTCTAGCTTGCGTATTTTTCTCTTCAGGTTCTCGATCTCCTCTCTCTGGTCCTTTATTTCCTCTTTTAGTGCTCTCAGTGTTTCCTTTGCTTGATCCCTTATTATTTTCTCCAGCATCTCTCTCTACTGTCACCTTCGCTCTGAATTCCATTCCTTCCTTCTGTCCTGTGTTCCCCTTTTCTTTGACCTTATCCGAAATTAAATAAATTTTCTTAGCCATCTATTTCTCAACCTCTTTTTCCTTCCTCCCCCCCCACTCCTCATCTCTTCTATCGCTTTCATCCATTCCTCCCCCTCTCCCTTTTCATTCATTATCTTCTCCACCACGTTTTGCCAACTCTCTCCCTCCCAATTTTCCCATCTCGAGCACTCTTCCCAGACATGTTCCCACGTCTCCTCCTTCCTCTCACATATCCTGCATTTTTTGTCTTCCTCTTTTCCCCAGTATAGTCCCTCCCTAATCTCGTTGCCCAATCTGAACCTTGCGATTCTGTTCCATCTCGCCTCCTCCCAGCCCTTCTTTAGATGCTCCGGTATCCCATCTTTCCTTATTCGTTTATACCACCTGTTGTATTTCGGTTCCATAATCTTTCCCATTCTTTCTTGTCTTTGCTTTGCTTTCTTCTTGCGTTCTATTGCCTCCTCCGTTAGTCCCTCCTCCCCTCCCTTTTCTACCCCAATACCTTCCCAGTAATCCTTTCTCTCCTGCTCCCATCTTCTTATTATCCTTTCCTTCTTCCATCTTTCTTTCATTTCTTCCAAACATTTCTTTGCTATTTTTCCTCCTTTACCTTCTTCCAGTTTTCTTTCGAATTTCCATGCTCTCTTGCTTGCTCTGGCTCCCATTTTTTCCCTTTCTAGTTCGTCCCTGACCACGTACCTTGGGGTCCTCCAATTTACACCGAGTGTCCATCTGAGGTATCTCTCGTGTATCCCTTCTACCTCCCTCCTTTCCTTCCACCCCCATATTTCAGCTCCGTATCCCATCACCGTCCATATCAGTGTATCATACAGCCAGATCCTTCTTTTACAGTCCTTTTTCCACATCCTTTTACCTATTCCCCACACTTCCCTCATCACCCTTACTGCCTTCTTTCTTCTCTCTCTGATATGTGCCTCTTGCCTTCCATTCGCCATCAGCGTGTACCCCAGATATTTGAATTTTTTAACCTTTTCTAATTTCTTTCCCTTCCATCTCCAGTCATATTTCTTCTTCCTCCCTCCTTTTCTAAATCTTATTATCTTCGTCTTCTCCGTACTTAGGTCTTTCCTGTCTAAGTATCCCTCAAGCCTGCTTATCATGGATCTCATGTCCTGTTCCTCCTCCGCCAGTACTGCTATGTCATCTGCATACATTAGGGTGTATATCTTCTCCCCTTTTACACTCACACCCCCCCCCCATTCGCCCTTTCTCATGTGATCCTCTATGTCTGCAATTAGTAAGTTAAACAGTATCGGGCTTAACGGGCAGCCCTGTCTTAATCCCTTCGCCATCCAGAATGATTCCCCTTTTTCTTCTCCCCTTCTTACATTGCTTTTTGTATCTCTCAAGACTTCCTCTACCCTATCTATCAGTCCTTGCCTTACTCCTCTCTCTTTCATTGCCTTAATTAGAATTTCCTTATCTACTGAGTCAAACGCCGCCTTGAGACCTACGAATAGAACTGTCATCTTCCCTTTCTCCTTTCCTAGATGTCTGTTTATCAAATAGTTTAGCGTAAATATCTGGTCCATCGTCCCCATTCCTTTTCTAAATTCTGCTTGGTTATCGGGAATCAAGTTCTTCATTTCTACTTCATTCCTTATCCTTTCTGCTAATACCGCCGTGTATATCTTATACATTGAGGGCATGATCGTTATCCCTCTGTAGTCTTTTACCTCTTTTCCTTCTCCTTTCTTCACTAAAGGTATTATCTCACCCTCCTTCCACTGTTCAGGCCAGCCTTTTCCCCTCCATACCCGTTTACATATTTCCCAGGCTCACCTCACCATCTCTTCTCCTCCATATTTCCATACTTTATTCGGGATTCCGTCCTTACCTATTGCCTTTCCTGTTTTTAGTTTCTTTATTACATTTCTCACCTCCTCTAACTCTATCTCTTCCTCGTCTTGTCTGTCCCTCCCTCCTTCTCCTTTCACTACCCTGTTCTCCACGCCTCCCATTAGCTCCATAAAATATTTTTTCCACTTTTCCAGCCCTATGTCTTCGTTTATCCTTTTCTTTCTTTTCCTTACTCTACCTATCAGTTCCCATACTTTACTTTCCGATCTCGCTTCTCCTATCTCTGTAATCATCTTTTCCTTCTCTTCCTTTTTCTTTCTTTCACATACTTCTCTGTATTTCCTCTTCCTTTCTCTATATCTTTCTACTTCCCCTTTCCCCTTTCTCCACTTTCTTAATTCTGCCCTCGCTTCTTTCTTTTTCTCCTTGCATTCTTCATCCCACCATCTTCTTCTGATCTTATTAGCACCCCTGACCTCCCCCTTTTCATTCTCCTTTAGTATTCCTCTTATCTTCGACACCCCCTCCTCTATCTCTTCCTGCAATTTTCTGTTTCCTCCTATTTTTCCTAACTTCTCAACGAAGTGTTTTCTTCCTTCTTCGCTCCATATTCCTCTTCTTCTTGTCAATTCTATCTTTTCCCCTCTCTGTGTTCTCTTCGCTCCGCCTCTTATCCACAGTATTAGAGGGTGATGGTCTGATTCTACTCTATCCCCTATTTCTAGTCTTTCTATTTTTTCTCTGCTATCCTCATCACTTATAATATAGTCTATTACTGTTTCACCCTTTCCTCCCGTGTATGTGTATTCTCCTTTTTCGTCTCCCTTCATGCCATCATTTAAAATCATCAATCCTCTTTCTTCTATAAATTCTAGTAGCGTACCATCCTTGTTCACCTTCTTATCTTTAGATTCTCTCCCTCTTTTTTTCCCACTTTCTTCATCTTCCTCTTCCCTTCCTCCCTCATCTCCCGTTCTCGCGTTAAAGTCACCTCCTATTATGGTCCTTACTCCTATTTTTCCCTCCTCTATGCAGTCATTCAAACCTTCTAACTTCTTATCAATGTCTTTGTTTACATATATTCCTATTATTTTCCATATTTCCTCCTTTATTCTTAGCTTGACTTCGACCCTGTTTTCCTCCTCTTCCCTCCCTCTACCCTCCTTTATTTCTTCTAACCCTTTTCTTATACCTACTAGCATTTCTCCGCATGTTCTACCTTTCTTATTCCTTTTATTCGCTATTTGTACTCTCCAACCAAATTCCTTTGGTAGTTTCTCTTTCATCTTCTCCCATCCTTTCTTATCCATCCATGTCTCCATCATAATAATCACATCCCATTTTTTTACCCCATCCCAAAAGTCTCTATCTTTATTTGTTATTACCGCTACATTCTAGAATACCACCTTCGTCTCTTCCCTCCCCCCTCCTTCTTCCTCCCCTTCCTTTATATCTACGTCTTCCTCAACTCTGGCTTCACCTCCTGCCGCTCTCTCTCCTTTCTCCCATTTACCTTCCTCATCCTCCTCGCATTCTTTGTTTTCATTCTCTTCGTTGTGACCTATGAAAGTCTTCCCTCTCCTCCAGTCTGCCTTTGTTTTCGTTCCATCTCCATTCCTTGTTGTCCTCCCACATCTTTTGATAACCAATTGTCACTCTTTTTCCTTTCTCTCTCTTCTCTCTTGCTATCTTTTTTATCTCTGTTTGTATTTGTCTTTCCTGTTTGGTGAGATCGTCATCCAGAAAGCTTCCATATTTCCTTCCTAGTTCCTTCTTTTTCTTCATGATGTCTCTTTTAACTTCCCAGTTTTTGCATTTCAAGAGTCTAATTTTGTATTCCCCGTATCCTATTTCTTGTATTTCTTCTATGCTTCCTTCTGTAGTATTTAGTTCTGCCATCAACTTTTCGAAATTCTCTTTTCTCTCTTTAACGTTTCTTAACTTCTCCTTCACGATTATGTTATTTTTTCTCCTTCTTCTTTCCGTCATCTCCACACTTTTTTCTATTTCCTTCATTTTCCCTATCAACTCCCTGCCTTCATTCTCCTCTGCGCCCTTCATCTCTAATTTTTCTATCTTCTCCATTGTTTTTACCTTTTCTTCTAGCGCCTTTCTTTGCCTTTCCCATATTTCCTCCCTTCTCTTCCATTCCTCCCTTACTCCCTTTATTTCGTTTTTTATTTCTTCTTTGTCTTTTTTCCTCTCCTCCTCCTGTTCTTCCATTTTCCTCGGTATCTCTTTTAATAGATCCTCTGTCGCCATCCTTCCTTTACCCTCTTCTCCTTTTTTTATCTTCGCTGGCGGTGATCTGTTTGTCCTTCTCGTTTCATTAAATTTGTCGAGAATTTCTTTCTCTGCTGCCTTAGCCGCTTCTTCCTCTAACTCTTTTCTTTTCCTTTTCAAAATGAGATCTTTGACCGATCCTAGGCTGTCCGCCCTTCCCCTTTGTTTGGCAAGCTCCTCCGCCTTTGTAGGCCTGCCTCTTGCTTTCCTCTCCCCTTCGTCTTCCCTCTTCTTTCCTATCCTTCCTTGCTGGTCAATCTCTATTCTTAATTCCTTCTCTGCCTCCATCCGCCGCTTTTCCCTTAGCCTTTCCTTCCTATTGGTTATCTTTCCTATGATTGAAAGCACTTATAGTATTTATCCCCTCTATATCCGCGTTAGTCTATGCCCGCTTTCGCGACCCCGCCTTTCTGTCAGTCGCCCCTCTATACTATCTGTATTCTATGCCGCCCGGTCACCTCTCACCCGTCCCTTTCCTTACCTTTTTTCTCTTAACTACTTCCTCCCGTTCTTAACCCTTTCGCCTCCACCCTCTCGCTCCTCCACGCCTCCCTGTTCCGCCGCTTTTGACCTCTCTATCTTTCTTCAATCCTTTTTCCACCTCGATATTATTCTCTGCCACACGCACACCTGTTGCTATCTACACGCCGGAACCGGAAGCCCATTTCGTTATCTTATATTTAATTATATATTTTATAATAAAAGATGTCCTTCAAATGTTAGTCGCGCAATAATAGCGTGAACTGCACTTATAAACTGTAACTTTATAAACATACAGGAAAAATAGGAATGTTTGTATAAATATTAATCCAAATTAAGATTTAAATAAATTTAGAATACATTTTATGATTGGACTAAAAAAACAAGAATGAATTAAATATCTATAAATTTTTATGTAATATTTCTAGAAAAGACTAAAAATTATAGAATAAGTATTCTTGTTAACATATTGCGATTTTGCATTAATTTTATATCTAATTATAACTATTAAATGATTTAGAGAGATGTATTAAAAAATCAGCAATTACATCTTATTAAAAGTCATAAATTATATTTTGTGTTTTATTTATACCACATTACTATAATTGCTATCATTATTTCAATAATTAATAATAAGCATAATTAATAATAAATTTTTTTCACTTTTAATATCGCAGGTAACGCAGAGATGAACCGTGGTGGTTTTAGTGGCGTATACTGGACATTGCACAACCGGGAAGAGGGACTAGCCCTCTCCAACGGGTTTGGGAGTTCCTCACTCCCCTCCGAGTCACCGGAGAAGGTCAGTGCATAAAGCATTTCCACCACGTTAAAAAAAAAAAAAAAAAAAATGTCTATGCAAAATTAAACAAAATTCTATATTAAATAATTTTGTTTAAAAATTTTTAATTGTACAAAAAACTTAATTCCTAAAAATATTATTTGTTTCGAAGGATTCACTTGATAAATTAACTTTATTTACATTGGAAAGATAATAACGATCTATAATTGTTGAAAGAATATGCATAATCTCTGCAATTGTAAAAATTGCTAAACTGATATAATATTGCATGCTAATATTTCTAATTGATTTTACGTTTAACATTTTTCTCCTTCCTTCCCTCTCTCTCGATTTCTATCTTTCTCTTTTATTTCTTTCATTAGAGATTTTTATCTTTGTTTCCAATTTCTTATCTTTTAATCTTTTTATTTTTCCGTTTCTCTTATGCGTGAGTGTATGCGTATGTGTATATATTTCCTATATGCGTAAAAGAAATAGATTTATATGATAGACTGCGCGTTCCGTGAGAGAGATTGGAGTCAACACTAGACAGAGAGAGCAATAGCGTAAGTACTTATGTCTCTTTCTAACACGGAAGTAGTGGGGATGTGAAGAAGAGAAGTTGCTATGCGTCTCCATAACGATTTCCTTCCATACTCCTCCTCACTCTTTGTAGTGTGCGAGAGAGAATGAGCACTACTTATGCTAAGACTCCATAGACGCGGAAACGCCATGCGGCAGAGTGCGTTGACCAATCACAAATTTTGATTTTGCCGCAGGTGACTTGCGGCAGCCTTCTGATTGGTCAACGCACTCTACCGCACGGCGTTTCCGCGTCTATGGAGTCTTAGCATTACAGTCTATATCTACTATCTCTATCCTTTCGTCCCGGCTAGCCTGCGCCGGGATCAAAGGACGCCGCAGTCTATTGTCTATGGAAAAAAACGATAAAAAAAGGGTATGACGGAAGTGGACAAGGAAGTGGAAAAGAAACGGAAGTTTTCTATATTCTTAGGCAGTTGCTTCTTTGCAGTGACACGGTGTGCATCGAAGAAACAGTGTTCCGCGAATAAAGTCTGAGAAGTATCGAAAGCTATGGAAGGACAAGGTAAATTTTTAAAATATATTTTGTATATGAAATATAAAAATATAAAGTAGATTCATTACAAAAATATATACAATTATTTTATAGCAAATAAAAGAAGAAGTCAGTTATGGCGATCACGTCAAAAAACCTAACAAAGACGGCGTGAAAGATTAAAACTTCTTTCTAATATAGAAAAGACGAGAGCTACTGCTCCTGACGAGGACAGAGATAATAAAAGGGCTCAGGATGATGTTCCTGATAAAGATAAAGCTGAGGGCGAGATTCGAGACGGAAATAAAAAATTTCGACTGAGAGAAACGTCTTCAATACAACCAACAACTTCAGCACAGCAACACACAGAGGTAACATATATAAGAAATCTATAATATATTTAAATAAATATTAATATTAAATAGAATGTGTCACAAAGCAAATACGCATGATGTCAAATGCCTGACCATACTGATTGCACTAATTCAAAGTGTATTTTTTTATTTCCAATGTGAAAGCATGTAGAAAGAGAAAGATGTACTTTAAACTAGTGCAGTCATTATGAATAGATACTTCTGATGTCATATATACATACATAAATGTGTACATGTATACGTATATGAACATGCATATATAGTATTATTAGAGTCGTATATACGTATATGAACATGCATATTATATAGTATTATTAGAGTCCGGACGTTTGAGCTCGATTCCGGGTTGCGAGCGAAGAACTGCTGCATGCGAGTGAATCGGGTGCCCGCTAGAATGAGATAACAATAGCCGGCGCAACGCAATGACTGCCGACTGTGGCTGCGTTTCTTTTGGGCGCTCACGCGCTCACACGCGCTGTAAGCATCATTCTATCTTCGTTGCACATCGAATATCAAACAAAGATAGAGCGATGCTTACAGCGCGTGAGCGCCCAAAAGGAACGCACCCTGTGTCCGATCTATCCGAATACGCCGGCTATTGTTATCTCGTTCTAGCGGGCACCCGATTCACTCACACGCAGCGACTCTCGGCGCGCGACCCGAAATCGAGCCCGAACTCTAATTATTATGTGTGTATTTCATATCGGATTTTAAAGTAATATAAATTATATTACAAAATAAACATATTACAGATCATAATATATACATTTTCATATAATTGTAAATACACAGTATATTCTAATTATTTTAAAAGAAAAACGAGTATTGTCTACTAATAAGTAATATTAATATGTAACAAATTCACTTTTTCCTCCAACAAATAATTATCAAAATTATAAATTAAATATTAAAGTTGCCAATTTTGCATAAATATTAAAAAAAAATATTAGAAAAATATTTTAAACATAAGTTCATTTACAACTTTGTGTTCTATTTCCAATTATATAATTTTTTCTATATGTAATATTTGTTTTTCTTATTTGTTTTAGCCTCAATTATCAGAGGTACAAAAAATATATAAAGAATTACAAGAATTGCGAGCCGTGTATGCCGCTGACCAGGATTCACGGATTCAAAATCCAGCGCAGATTGGAAATACTCAACATTGAGGGAAGCAGAGGACGGGGAGGAGGACGTGGACGAGGACGCGGACGAGGACGAGGTCGCGGGCGAGGAAGAGGTCGTGGGCGAGGACGTTATGGATATGTACATCATATCCATTACGGAAATGTATATATTCTTAAATAAAAATAATTAGAAATATAAAAAATGATATATGGCTCAAATATGTACTAGTCCCGTCCTCTAAAGGTTAAATTATAAGCTAAATAAAAATAAAAGTAATTCACAATTAATTTTAAGGTTTTAGAATATATTGTAACTATTATATACATAAAATTTAACTAGCTTTATATTTAAACAAATTAAAATTGTAAATTTGGAAAAAAGCTATTTATTTTGATGGCGTCTAAAAAAAAAAATTTATTTTAAATTGAATAAACATGAGAGATAGAAAATTTTTAAACACTTCATTCATCTATTAGGGGAGGTTCCCCCTCTCGGAAGTACTCCAAACTGATGGAGGTT